CCGCGGCTGGACTGGCATGAAATGTATAAGTCGGGTGATGATGTCACAGGAGCAAGAAAAGATGAATACTCTAGAGGAGGGTTTGGGATCAATTTGGATAATTCCGGGACATCCGTGACCAATCAGCGATCATGTGTTGGAAGACAATGCAAGCGGCAGAGAGGTGGATCCTGATCAGTTGCCGCTTCCTCTTCCCACCACCGGCCTTTGCGCTGCGGCAAATCCTTTCATCGTGGCATGTAAAATGTTTTGTCGCTCCAGATTATCAGCCGCGGCTCGCGCTGTGCGTAGTGGTTTGCTCAGCTCTGTTTGCATACTGGAATCTTATCAGAAGGAAACGTTCCCGAAAAAATATAAACTGAACACTAAATAAACATTCTCTTGTTGTCTTCAAACAGAAAAATGACAGCGAGAGTTTCATAAGCCAGAGGAGCGTAACGTATCAGACCAAACAGACGGCCGAGCCCCAAACAGCAGCGCAGTGATGTCACCGAGCGAAAAAATGCCACCAGATGCCGTCTAAAGCCGTCGCAGATGTCATTTGTTCATCGGGGAGCGGTCACCATACACAGTGCGCAGCAATCAGCATGCAAGCAGGGGTGGACTGACCATTTGGAAACTCGGGCACTGCCCGAGGGCCCGGGGGTCAGTAGGGGGCCCAATGAGATGCCCCTGGTACCTTTTTCATAGGCTTTTTTGAGTGTGGGCAAGGACAAAGGGGCCCCATGATCCCCTATTGCCTGGGGGCCCCATGAATTGTCAGTCCGCCCCTGCATGCAAGTACTTGGTTCTGCTGCCCTGTGCATGTATTACCCACTTACCCTCCATAGCAGGGGCGGACTAACCATTTGGAAACTCAGGCACTGCCCGAGGGCCCAGGGTCAGTAGGAGGCCCCATGAGATGCCCCTGGTACCTTTTTCATAGGCTTTTTTGAATTTGGGCAAGGACACAGGGGCCCCATGATTCCCCTATTGCCCGGGAGCCCCATGAGTTGTCAGTACGCCCCTGCTCCAGAGGATTTCCCCTCCTTCCTGACCAGACATTTTTTGTGATACGGCGCTGCGTTACTTTAACCACCTTCCGCCCGCCCTATAGTACAATGACGGGTGCAAGGTGGTTCTCTCTTTCTGATAGGACGTCATACGACATCCTACCATTCTCACTGCGCACGCGCGGCTCAGGGAGCGGCGATCGCCGGTGTGCTGTGTGCCTCGGACACAGCGGATCACGGAAAGAGCCGGAGATGTCGGCTCGGTCATGTGATCAGCTGTGTCCAATCACAGCTGATCACATGTAAACACGGAAATGCCGGTTATCGGCATTTCTCTCCTCTCGAGCTGTCACCCTGACAGAGGAGAGGAGAGCCGGTAATCGGCTTCCTGCGGAGGGGGACATGTGTACTGATCATCAGGGCACTGATGATCAGTGTGCCCTGATGATCAGTGTGGCCCCAGAAGTGCCACCTGTCAGTGCCCATCAGTGCCACATCAATGCCACATATCAGTGCATACCAGTGCACATCAATGCCACATATCAGTGCCCATCTGAGCTGCCTTTCAATGTCACCCATCAGTGCCAGTCAGTGCTACATATCAATGCCAATCAGTGCCACCTATCAGTGCTGCCAACCAGTGCAACCCATCAGTGTCAGTCAGTGCCGCCTATCAATGCGCATTAGTGCCAGTCAGTGCCGCCTATCAGTGCCAGTCAGTGCCGCCTAACAGTGCAAGTCAGTGCCACCTATCAGTGCCAGTCAGTGCCACCTAACAGTGCCAGTCAATGCCACCTATCAGTGCCAGTCAGTGCCACCTATCAGTGCCAGTCAGTGCCGCCTATCAGTGCCATATATCAGTGTCATGTATCAGTGCTGCCTTTCAGTGCCCATCAGTGATGCCTGTCAATGCCCATCAGTGCCACCTACCAGTGCCTCCTCATCAGTGCCCATAAGTGTCACCTATCAGTGACCATCAGTGCAGCCTATCAGTGCCCATCACTGCAGCCTCATTAGCGCACATCAGTGAAGGAGAAAAAATCACTTATTTACAAAATTGTATAACAAAAACTAAATTTTCAGTGGTTTTTGGTTTGTTTAAGAAAAAATGAAAATCCCCGAGGTGATTAAATACCACCAAAAGAAAGCTCTATCTGTCACAAAAAAATGATAAAAATTTCACATGGGTACAGTGTTGCATGACCGCGCAATTGTCATTCAAAGTGTGACAGCGCTGAAAGCTGGGAATTGGCCTGGGCAGGAAGGGGGTGACAGTGCCCTGTAGGCTAACTGACAATTGCACAGTCATGCAACACTGCACACAAAAAAAATGTACGTCCTTTTTTCCCACTAAATTATCTTTCTGTTGGTGGTATTTGATCACTTGTGCATTTTTAAATTTTTGTGCTATAAACAAAAAAATAGACAGACAATTTTGAGAACGTCCAGTAAAAAAAATGTAAAAAATCTAATTTCGCTATAAATTTAGGCCAAAATATATTCTGCTCTGTGTCTTTGCTAAAAAAAAATCCCAATACGTGCAAATTAATTGGTTTACGTGAAAGTTATAGCGTTTACAAATGGCGGTATGTATACTGGGATTTAATTGTTTGTTACTAGTAATGGTGGCAATCAGCTACTTATAGTGGGACTGCGGCGGACATTCTGACACTGGGGGGGGGGGGGGGGAACTGACTTGGTGTCACTGACAACCCCAGTAACATCAATACAGTGATCAGTGCTAATACAAAGCTCTAATGGCACTGGGGAGGAAGGGGTTAACATGTGGGGCGATCAAAGGGTTAACTGTGTGCTGTTCTACTACGTGGGCTGTGTGTGTGTTTTCACTGTAAGCACACTGCTTTGTATGGCTCTGCTATGCAGAGCCATACAAAGCAGTGTGCAGGAGCTGACAGGGGAGAGATCTGTATTGTTTACATACAGGTCTCCCCCCCATCGGAAATTCTTGGAGATCGCTGGGTGCCAGTGGGGTATCACCGACAGGGACCCAGTGATTGAGAGCCGAGGCCCCTACCCGGAACTACAAAGTCACATAGATACGCATGATTTTGCACACCCGTGCCACTCTGTGGCAGTATTTCTGCTATAGGGCGGCGCGGGGGGGATCTTTTATGTAAGCGGTTAAAGAGATAAATCATCCAAATATGGTGTTTCAGTTTTCAGCAGTTGCCGGTAGATTGGTGTACCCATCTTGTTCTGTTTCAAATACCAACTTATGCATTGTCATACCTCCTTTGACCAGTCTGTCCAGACAGTATGGTCACCTGCTGACTTGACTCAATTCACAGGCAGCTTAACTCTTCAATAGACAGAAATTTAATCTGATGGGCAGCACAGTGGTTAAATGGTTAGCACTCCCCCTGGTAGTATTAGGGTTGTTGGTTCAAATCCCAACCACATCACCTTCTGCCTGGAGTTTGCATGCTCTTCCTGTTCCTGCGTGGGTTTCCTCCGGGTACTCTGGTTTCCTTCCACACTCCAAAGACATGCTGGTAGGTAAATTGGCTCCTGTCTAAATTGGCCCTAGTATGTGTATGTATGAATGTGAGTTAGGGACCTTAGATTGTACGCCCCTGAGGGTTAGGGACCTTAGATTGTACGCCCCTTGAGGGTTAGGGACCTTAGATTGTATACCCCTTGAGGGTTAGGGACCTTAGATTGTACACCCCTTGAGGGTTAGGGACCTTAGATTGTACGCCCCTTGAGGGTTAGGGACCTTAGATTGTACGCCCCTTGAGGGTTAGGGACCTTAGATTGTACGCCCCTTGAGGGTTAGGGACCTTAGATTGTACGCCCCTTGAGGGTTAGGGACTTTAGATTGTACGCCCCTTGAGGGTTAGGGACTGATGTGAATGTACAATATATATGTAAAGCACTGTGTAAATTGACAGCACTATATAAGTACCTGAAATAAATAAATAATTGCAGCTCAGAGGATCTTTTTGAGTCTTTGGAAGTGTAAGAAGACAATGACTTTCCTAAGCCCTGTCTCGAGAGGAGCTTAAGCAAGCCATAGATTATACAATTTTCTTTCCTTCCAACATAGGTGGAAAGAAAATTGCTAGATTCCCCCATCAACACAGTAGGTGTTGATGGGGAATCCCTCCTGCAGCACTGTTATGTTCTGCCAGTGGGGAGCCTTCACTGCCAGCAGAACACAATGATTACTGCTGGTGGCTATTGCTACCAGCAGAGATTGCATACACAAAATCCAGCAGGCTGGGTGTACTGAAGTCAATCGATGATTGACTTCACTACAACCAGCCTGACCATAGATGGATCGAATCTCAGCCAGTCCCTGTTGAATTTTACATCAGATAATTGCAGTACAGAGGATGTCTTTCTAGTCTTTTGAAGTGTAAGAAGACAATGACTTTTCTAAGCCCTGTCTGTGTGAAAAACTAACACTGATGGAGAGAACAGAGAAGAGATAGGGAGGGTCTAGGTGGGGTTGAGCCATTAGCACAGTAGCTCAATGGTTAGCACTTTCACCTGGCAGTACTAGGTTTGATGGTTTAAATCCCAACCACAGCACCACCTGCCTGGAGTTTACATGTTCTCCCTGTGCCTGCGTGGGTTTCCCTCCGGGTATTCCGGTTTCCTTCCACACTCCAAAGACATGCTGGTAGATGAATTGGATCCTGTCTATATTGGCCCTAGTATGTGTATGTATGAATGTGAGTTAGGGACCTTAGACTGTACACCCCTTGAGGGTTAGGGACTGATATGAATGTACAATATATATGTAAAGTGCTGTGTAAATTGACGGCGCTATATAACTACCTGAAATTAATAAATGAATAAAATAATTAGCACTAAACTGGAGGAGATACCAAATCACAGAAATAAACAAGTTGCAGTGGCCCTAAACTACCACTAGATGTCATATTACTGCATAACAGTAGTATCCTGATGCCATTCAATACAACACAGACAAAATACATAGAAGTGGAACACAACAAACCACTTTGTTATAAGGATTCAAAGGTCCCCATCAGAGTGCCCCCTTACATCAGGTGTCCCCATCAGAGTGCCCCCTTACATCAGGTGTCCCAATCAAAGTGTCCCCTAACATCAGGTGTCCCCATCAGAGTGCCCCCTTACATCAATTGTCCCCAACAGAGTTTCTCCTTGCATATGATCATTCCCATCAGAGTGCCCCTTACATCACAGTCCCTATCAGAGTGCGCCATTACATCAGATGTCCCCATCAGAGTGCCCCCTTACATCAGATGTCCCCATCAGAGTGCCCCCTTACATCAGGTGTCCCCATCAAAGTGTCCCCTAACATCAGGTGTCCCCATCAGAATGCCCCCTTACATCAATTGTCCCCAACAGAGTTTCCCCTTACATATGATCATTCCCATCAAGTGCCCCTTACATCACAGTCCCTATCAAAGTGCGCCATTACATCAGGTGCCTCCATCAGAGTGCCCCCTTACATCAGGTATCTCCATCAGAGTGCCCCCTTACATCAGGTATCTCCATCAGAGTGCCCCCTTACATCAGATGTCCCCATCAGAGTGCCCCCTTACATCAGGTATCTCCATCAGAGTGCCCCCTTACATCAGGTGTTCCATCAGAGTGCCCCCTTACATCAGGTATCTCCATCAGAGTGTCCCCTTACATCCGGTGTTCCATCAGAGTGCCCCCTTACATCAAGTGTTCCATCAGAGTGCCCCCTTACATCAGGTATCTCCATCACAGTGCCCCCTTACATCAGATGTCCCCATCAGAGTGCCCCCTTACATCAGGTATCTCCATCAGAGTGCCCCCTTACATCAGGTGTTCCATCAGAGTGCCCCCTTACATCAGGTGTTCCATCAGAGTGCCCCCTTACATCAAGTGTTCCATCAGAGTACCCCCTTACATCAATTGTCCCCAACAGAGTTCCCCTTTACGTATGATCCTTTACATCAGAGTGCCCTCTTACATCAATTGTCCCCAACAGAGTTTCTCCTTGTATGTTCTCCCTGTGCTTGTGTTTTTCTAGTTTCCTCCCACACTTCCTCCCACAGGAGCGGAGGATCAGGTAAGTAAAACTGCTTTACCCCATGCCCCTAGACATAAGCGATCCATTAACCCTTTCAGCCCTGCTACAAGAGAGACCTTTACTTTCCCCAGTGGTTAGTGGCTCAGCGCTTAGCATTGCTGCCTTGCAGCATCAGGGTCCTTAGTTGAAACCCTTGCCCAAAACCCTGTCCACATGCAGTTTGCATGTACTTGTGTGGGTTTCCTCTCACACTCCAAAGAGATGCTGCTAGGCAACTTGGCTGCATGGAGTGTGTATGCTCTCTGTGTGCTTGCATGCTCCATGACATACTGCTAGGCTAATTGGCTTGTGTCCAAATTGTCACTAATCAGGGGGGACTGACCGTTCAGACACTCGGGCACTGGGACAAGCTCTCTCCTCCCCTTCACCCATAAGTGGTAGTCACCGGAGTCTTGGATGTCCACTTAGAAAGGCACCTCCATATCTAAGCCCTGTGGATGGGGTGAAATGCGTACATGTACATAGAGCTGGGACAAGTTCTCTCCTCCCCTGCACCTGTAAGTGGGAGTCACCGGATTCTTGGATGGCCACCTAGAATGGCACCTCCATGACTAAGCCCTATGGATGGGGTGAAACGCGTACATGTACATAGAGCTGGGACAAGCTCTCTCCTCCCCTTCACCCATAAGTGGGAGTCACCGGAGTCTTGGATGTCCACTTAGAAAGGCACCTCCATATCTAAGCCCTGTGGATGGGGTGAAATGCGTACATGTATATAGGGCTGGGACAAGCTCTCTCCTCCCCTGCACATGTAAGTGGGAGTCACCGGAGTCTTGGATGGCCACCTGGAATGGCACCTCCATGTCTAAGCCCTGTGGATGGGGTGAAATGCATACATGTACATAGGGCTGGGACAAGCTCTCTCCTCCCCTGCACATGTAAGTGGGAGTCACCGGAGTCTTGGATGGCCACCTGGAACGGCACCTCCATGTGTAAGCCCTGTGGATGGGGTGAAATGCATACATGTACATAGAGCCGGGACAAGCTCTCTCCTCCCCTGCACCCGTAAGTGGAAGTCACCGGAGTCTTGGATGGCCACCTAGAATAGGCACCTCCATGACTAAGCCTGTGGATGGGGTGAAACGCGTACATGTACATACAGCTGGGACAAGCTCTCTCCACCCTTGCACCCATAAGTGGAAGTCACTGGAGTCGTGGATGGCCATGTGGAATGGCGCCTCCATGACTAAGCCCTGTGGGTGGGGTGAAACGCGTACATGTGCATAGAGCTGGGACAAGCTCTCTCCTCCCCTGCATCCATAAATGGGAGTCACCGGAGTCATGGATAGCCACCTGGAACGGCACCTCCATGACTAAGCCCTGTGGGTGGGGTGAAACATATACATGTACATAGAGCTGGGACCAGCTCTCTCCTCCTCTGGTCCCATAAGTGGGTGTCACCAAAGTCTTGGATGGCCACCTGGAATGGCACCTCCAAGACTAAGCCCTGTGGGTGGGGTGAAATGCATACGTGTACATAGAGCTGGGACCAGCTCTCTCCTCCTCTGGACCCATAACTTTGAGTCACTGGAGTCTTGGATGGCCACCTGGAACAGCACCTCCATTACTAAACCCTGTGGGTAAGGTGAAATGCATAAATGTACATAGAGCCGGGACAAGCTCTCTCCTCCTCTGGACCTGTAAGTGGAAGTCACCGGAGTCTTGGATGGCCACCTGGAACAGCACCTCCATGACTAAGCCCTGTGGATGGGGTGAAACGCATACATGTACATAGAGCCGGGACAAGCTCTCTCCTCCCCTGCACCCATAAGTGGGAGTCACCAGAGTCTTGGATGGCCACCTGGAACGGCACCCTAAGTTACCTATGGTCATGGGGGTGTACATGTGCCGTGTCACTGGCAGGAATCATACCTCCTGTCACTTTTGATGGGCACTATGTTTGACCCGTTCAAGGTAACCGGGCCAATCTGCAAGCACCCCGCAACCACATGCAAAGCACGCAGTTGCAGAGCGCTAGTGTAGGGTTGGAGGAGTTAGAGCAGGCAGCGAGGAGGTGAATTTATATATCTGTACGCAATTTATCCAGTTGGTTTTGCCAGCTGCTAATAAAGGATCTGCCAGCGTGATTTCCGTTTTGTTAAAACGCCTCCTCACTGGCTGTCAAATACTCTATGAAGAGCATTCCGAATGCGGATCACTCATCAGAGAGAAAACCTCATCTGAGCGAGCCTTAAGTGAGATAACGTAGAGAAATGTCACCGGCGCACCAAGGATCTTCAATGTGGGTCTGAAAAGGCCTTAATGAAGGTTTACATAGTTACAGCAAGGCGACGTTTCGGAGTCTCACAGGCCCCCTTCATCAGGCATGTGACACAAAACGTTGCCTCGCTGTAACTATGTAAACCTTCATTAACCCCTTCACGCCAGCGCCTTCCGGCCCTTTAAGAGTTTCAGAAGCCGGGAGGCGGGTCGGGGTTTAGGGTCATGTGACCGCCGTGACACGCCGTCACGGCGGTCACATGATCGGGAAAGGTCCCTATCGAAAGAGGAGATCAGGACCTTTCCGTGAGTACCGGACATGTGTGCTGGGAGCGTGCTCTCGGCACATATATCCTTTTTTAATGGAACGCAAATGTGCGGCCGCTCGGCGTCTAGGCCCAGATGCTGGGAGGCCGCACATTTGCGTTCGCCCGGCATGAAGAGGTTAAAGTGGAGGTCCACCTGAAAAAAATAAAATACAAGTCAGCAGCTACAAAAACTGTAGCTGCTGATTTTTAAAATACAGCCACTTACCTGTCCCTCGGTCCAGCGGTGTCCTCACCACGGCTGGTTTCACCGGCCGTCTTCTCTCCCTGGTGCCGGCATCTTCAGTGTTGGCACCCGGCTGGGATAGCTTGCAGCTTCACAGCCGGGTGCTCACTGCGCATGTGCGAGAGGCGCTGCGGTTTGTGAATGGTCCCGTAGTTTTCTGGGACACGTGACAGGTCCCAGAAGACTACAGGGAGGGGGGGGGGGGATAACTTCCGCTTCTGACGATTGCAGCGAAAGTGGGAGTGGGTACCTGTCAAATTCAGGTACCCGCTCCCCAAAGGTGCCAATCCTTAATGGGGAGCGGGGACAGTGCTGTATTTCGGTTTTATGCTGCCCTAGGCAACGGAACAATTGAACACCCCCCTGTGGAGAGAACCTGATATTGACGAGCAACACCCCTGCTCCCCACCTGAAAGAGCCTTCCACTAACACATATCCCCCACCCCGCCCAGCGAGAGAGAGAAAGACCCTCACCTTCACAGCTTCAGACATCCCTGGGAATGTGAGTCGGGCTCTGCATACACCATCAAGCAGCCCGCAGCCCGCAGCCTCTCTTGGATCCCACCTGGTCCCTATGCCGCATGTGTCCCTTTTTCAGTCCCTTTTTCCACGGAGCGATGCTGCCCCCCCCTGCAAAATGCTGCCCTAGGCAAGTGCCTTGTTTGCCTTGTGGTAAATACGCCCCTGAGTGGGAGACAAAGGCTTTAAGCGAAACGTCGCCTTTTGGGTGAGGCTCCGCTTTAAAGCCTTTCCGGACCCACATTGGAGATCCTTGGTGTGCCGGTTGACTCTGCTCGGTTCCAGCCGACAGTCACGGCAGCACCCACCTATGCCTACAGCCATTTCTTGCAGGAAAGCGCGCGTTGGGATTGTGCAATTTCCTTAAGTGAGATAGGGACTGTAGATTGTAAGCTCTTTGACCGCAGCAACTGATGTGAATGTACAATGCACTGCGCAGGGGAGGACTGACAACTCATGGGGCCCTCAGGCAATAGGGGAAGATTGGGGCCCCTGTGTCCTCGCCCACACTCAAACCACACCCAAAAAAGCATGTGAAAGGTACCAGGGGCATCTCATGGGGGCCCCCACTGACCCCGGGCCCTCGCAAATGGTCAGTCCGCCCCTGACACCGCGCAATATAAACGCCTGTAAGTCACTAAATTACAAAGTATCAAATGACCCTTTACCACGCCTGCAAGTCTAGGTTTCGGCCAGCAGATGGCGCTGCCTGCTTGCCTATTGAGGCCATTGCCTACAATTATGGGATGCATGTCAGCAGCCTCAGCAGCAGAGATGGATAGATAATTCCCTCTTACTATGAAAAGGGAATAAGGGAAAAAAAAAAACAAAAAAAAACCCCAATTGTGTCTTTCCTCGGTTATTAATCATAATTTATTGCTTAACATTTTCAGCGCAGACACACCTCCTTAAAACCTCACTCCTCTATGCCTACAGAAAGGCCAAGGAGGAGGGGAGAGAAGAAAAAAAAAAATCCGGTGTACACAGATTCTAAATATTTCAGGTTGTGTGACTTTGTGTTTGACCTTATGAGAAGATGAACTAATCCTGCAATATAATAGACTTTTATAGAGATATGGAAAACGGCTCCGCTTTATCAGAGTTGCCACGGCAACCATCAGACTATGGGCCCTTGCTGGGATGCAAGGGAGGTTATTAAATGTGTGCTGGTGTATATTGGAAAAATACAGCTTTTTGTCATTGTGAGTCACTCGCGGCCTTTTCATACGTAATGTTTGGGTTATTAAAAAAAAAAAAAAAAACAACATGTTCAGTTCTGTACATGGTGGGGGGGCCGGGGGGGGGGGGGTTAAGAAATCCGGGGCTGCCGAAATAGCACGATGGCGAAATATTTTGCGGTCCTTATTTAAAGGATTTTTTTTTTTATATATGTTGCATGGAACGGGCGTAATTAAACCAACCGTATTTAGAGCCTTTGAGTTGTAATAGTAAGATCGCAGGCGTCGGACACTTGATCCAGACAATAGAGGTCGGGCCAG